CACTGCCAGTCAAGAAGTAAAGCTACACTGATTGCATAACCCATGGCACAACTATTTTGGTAACTACATAAGTAGAAACACACTCTATACAAAACATAGATTTAGCATCATACGAATATGGAACAGACTTTGACCGTGAACAGACTTTGACCGTGACAACAGATGGGTTACAAGTCTACCGTGTGCTAATGAATCCATCCAGATAATGTAGCTTGATGGTAGCTCTCTGTGTGAGGGCTACCCCTCCCCTTCTCCTCCTCTCCTCTGCTGATCGTACCAATGGGATCAATAGCAGCATGATGAATGTGAACTTTCCAGGGTTAATTCAACTGGAAGAATATTTTTAATGGAAATACAAGGAAATGGACTGGCTGCATTTACCATGCATGTCAGTGTCCCCACTGAATAATGAATCTCTCCATCTCCTCTCCTCTAGTTTGTCCCTCATTTCAGCCCCTCACTCATCACTCCATCCTGATCGGGACACCTCTGCACACAACATCATTGGACGTTTTAGTTATGTCATATTATTTTATTTAAATATTAGTTCAGATGCATTGCCTGCAGGATGGTGCTAGGGGGTGATTCCAGGATTTGCTTTTACAGGTGCAATGTGATCTGTTTTTGTTATCTGTTTTTTTATCAGCAGATGAGATGCTGTTGGCCGTCCATCGCTGGTGAAATAATGTAGCTAACAGAGGTCATGTTTATTGCATGGCTGAGCTCACTGGCCCAGCTGATCTGATTACTCAGCCCATCTCGCTCACTGACCTTTCATCTCCTCTGTACAGGGAGAACTCCTGCACCTCACCAGCACTTTCATCACACTCTCTCTCTCTCAAACTGCCAAACTGCCAAGACGCCATGGGAAAACGCCCTGGCTTAGTCATCATAGCTATTAATATTAATACATTATTATTCGCTTTTCTTTAGCTTTATAGATTGCCTAGCTAAGAGCTAAATTCAGACTTATAGTCAGTCTGCAAAGCCGTGTCATTATCAATCTAATCTCCTTCCATGACTTGCAGAGTGGACCACTTTTCCATTACTGGGAGCTTGCAGAGTGCACTCATACTCTGTGACATTATGATTAATATTTGACTGGAACTGTCCCTGGACTCCTGTCTCTCCCTCCCCCTGAGGGGCCTGTATTGATAAATGAAGAGCACTAAGTTCAGCTTGTTTGATCTGCCCAGTCAAAGCTATACAATAGAGAACGGTTGCATCCCAATTCATCTGTCTCATCTATCTATCTCTCACCCAATGTCGTTTGTCACGTCCCCAGCAAACCAGGCCAGTGTTTCTTTTTACTGCCTTATTTCACTGTAATAAATCATGGTGACCAGTAAGCAAAAGTTTATCTGTAATCACAATACCATTGTATGGACACCTGTTTAAGGGTATCACTATGCACAGTATACACAAACTGTATTCATTTCAATAAATAAAGCACCTTATCACTGGCACCGTCAACCCTGGATAAAATATGTTTTAAACATGTTAGAGAGGTACACTCAACAAACAATGTGACTTTTAGACAGTTTGCTTTCTCTACGTACACTACTAAACCCCAGTAAACAATGAGTGACATTCAGCCCTGACCTTTAAAGGGAGCGCACGTGGAGCCATTGTTAACCATCTTCCCTAAAGTTTAGCAGCAGCTGTTGACCTGGCGTGCTCCGCTCCAAACAATCGTCTCTGGAGTTGTGACATTCAACAGCACAGAGCAGCTAACGCAGCTATGAACACTCTGACACTAGCCTGACATTTCCTCACACCAATACAAGCTGTCAGAGATGGCCCTCGTCTGCACACTAATGCCCATGGACAGCATTTGAACTCAAAATGCCTGAGCCGCAGGTGCATAATACTATGACAGAGAGTTAAACGCATGCATTGTGCAGGGTTAAAAATATTAACTACCTGTAAGGCCTACACTGTACGTTTGTGTCTGACATGCTGGTTTGTTGCTAGTACGGAGCATTGTCCAAAAACATGACTGTTATTGGTTAGCCATAATCATCTGTCATTCGTTACCGCAACATGTGAATCCCAATGAAGCACAGCAGAGACGAATATAACGCACACGACTAAATCATGTTTCATTGCTGACCATTATAATGAGGGCTGAGGTGTTGAGAGCGCTTGTGTCAGAATGAGAGGATCTAACCATTATAGTTCAGTCCATGCACATAATATGCAGAGAGCAGCGGTCAGGCCATTCTAATGATGTCTCCAGCTAGTGACCTTTCTCCGGGGGTGTCTGAGACGTGAGGAAGTGTCCCTGCTATCATGTTGCTGTGATGTATGGTGAGGAGCTGCTCTGACTTATGACTTATTGCCCTTCACTCATGTTACACAGTGCCTGTTAGTCAGGTACTGCCCCTTCATTTAACGGATGTATCCGAGTGACACTGGTACAATATGGCCTCTCTAGCATCTCTTACTCTGCCGGCCTATTAATTATGGCTGGTTTGGAGCTTGATTTCCTGTTTCATTGTTTTGGATGGATAAATGCTCCTTGAGTTAGGTTTGGAAACCTAATGTTTGCGGGTGAGTGTGTTTAAGTGTGCGTGCAGGAGAGTGAGAGTGTGCGCTGTTATCAGTGTGTGTGTGTTACTCTCTGTATTGCAGTTCTCACAGTTCTGTTTCTTTGCCATTTCTCATTCATTCTCTTTCAGGGCTCTTGTTCAGTATTCTAACAGGACACATGGACCAATGCATGTTGTGTGTTCTTTGGAAAGATGTGCTTCAACAGCAGAAGATGTATTCCAGGGAATAAAACCTTATATTTGCATAAATAGAAAGCAAAAGAGACCAGAGATTTGACTAATTAAATTAGTGTTAAATTAGTGTTAATCTTCATCTTTAACACTCACCTCTCAGTTGTACATCACCAAACATGTCTTGTTGGAAGCTCTTCATTACTACACTTCTGCCTGTGTCACCAAGCCCTGACAGATATAACAGATAGCAACACAGAGGTGTGGAATCTGGAATATTTTGTAAAGAGTTAAAAGAATATGCGGTTCTGTGGCAGAGTGTTTTTTGTGTGAAAGGGGAGTAATAAGAGCAAGGTGGCCAGGGTGATTAATGCGCTATCGATCCACTCTCCTCTCCTCTCAAAGGCGAGGAGTCTCTAAGCAATCTACAGGTCAATTTACAGTTCTCCTCCACAAGGTCTCCCAAAGGGTCAGAGTCCATCGGCTTGGATGACACACCGCGCTGCACACAGAATGAAAACATGCCAATCTGATTTATCTGCCAGCCAGGCGCCACAGTCGCACCTCTGCACCTTTCTATTTCAGTCCTCCTCCACTGACCTGGGACCAGTGAGTGGAATAAACGCTTTGGGAGACACTTAAAGGGAGTTTGTTCGGCCGGTTCATAATTTACAGTTCACTCATCACCTTCGGTTCTCAAACCATTCTACTCTCTCATGGGCTCTATACAAATCTATGTACAAATGCCTACAGCTGCTTTTCAAATGGCAACAAACAATAATGCGGATCAACATCAACAACGAGTGGCGCAGTGGTCTAAGGCACTGCATCGCAGTGCTAGCTGTGCCACTAGAGATCCTGGTTCCAATCCAGGCTCTGTCGTAGCCGGCCGCGACCGGGAGACCCATGGGGCGGCGCACAATTGGCCCAGCGTCGTCCAGGGTAGGGGAGGGAATGGCCGGCAGGGATGTAGCTCTGTTGGTAGAGCATGGCGTTTGCAACGCCAGGGTTCTGGGTTCGATTCCCAAGGGGGGTTAGTATGAAAAATAAAAAAGAATGTATGCACTCACTAACTGTAAGTCGCTCTGGATAAGAGCGTCTGCTAAATGACTAAAATGTAAATGTAATGAAGTCGAAGTGTGACTGTGGACTAATACAATTATGAAAGGTTAGATCATGGAGGCATTAGATTAGATGTGGAGAAAGGCACAGGACACACAGAGCCAACCGCTTAGCCACTACGTTGGGGACAGCAAAGCCATTACAATCTTAAAAGGCCAAGCAAAATGTTGCCTTGTGAATATCCACCAATTCAGAACCTGTGTCCATGACAAAGAATATTTCTTCAAAATCTCCCTATTGTCTTGTCCTTTACATCCTATTCCTTCTTCCACCTCTATCCAACGAAGGGAACGGAATGTATTATTTTCTCTCCATCGTTCTATTCTCTCTCAGAAGAGACAAACTGTCAATCTAGGGGTTGATGTAAGCAGGGTTTAGGCAGAGGGACTATGAGAAGTCTACATCTTGCATTTTAATCAACACCAGCCCATTTCAAATTAAAGGGGAGGCAGCAATGGAATGGAGACTCAAGTTATGGAGTTTCTACCGCTGCTTGATGCACTTTTGGATCAATAAACAATTGTAAATTGTTATAGTCAGCAAAGAGGTGGTTGTAAAATGCTAAGTTCAGATGGCATCCAATGACCTATACTATGAGGTGGTTGCCCAACAATATGTCTGATGTAATGGTGTGAGGTACTGAGTTGTTATTCCCAAACCACCCTGCACCACACGCATGCAAGGTGAACAGTATACTGCACCAACATGGGCATTAGTAACCACCGAAATGCTAGTAAAAAAATACATTAAAAAATATATATATTTCTAACACATAGCCTACAGTATAGGGAATCTGCAAAGAGAAGGCTTGGCATGGCTCATGTAGCATCGCACAGCAGCTGAGGGTGTGTCTTAATTACCACAATCAGTGTAATGATAACTAATTAGCCAATTCAAATTAGTTCCTGTAATTTAAAGTCTATCATTGAGATTAACTATTAGATTCATCATTACTGTAAAGGTTGCTGTTGTCATTTCTAAAATGTAATCTAAGCGCTATCTCCAGCAGATGCAGCAGTGTTGGCCAATAATGACATTTTTCACATAATTTAAATAAACAGCTCATTACACTAAAATTAATTGATTTAGCACAATGGAATTATGGGTCGTACCAACAGGGGAGAAAGGAAACCGACAGATAATCAAACCTAGACAGGAGGCTCAATTTTATTTAATACATGGAGATCAAAGATAAAAAGTCTAACTACTTTTAAACGTCACGTCAAGTGCTTATCGGGTAAACATTTTGTGGTACTGATTTCTATCGACCTTTGCCCTATGTAGATGGTCAACAGTATATAATATTTAACAGTTGTGTTGGAGAAACCAAAGGCTTTAATGATCTCATTCATTATTCAGTGGTGTTCGTATCAGATGGTTCAGCTGAAAAAGAGAGAGGGGCTGTTTACTAAGCCTTGTCACAACAACACGTTGCCTCTCAATGGTCATCATTAAGCCTCTCTATGAGGAGATTGGACCCATAACATAGAGCCACTTGGTAAGCTACACTGGCGGCACGTATACAGACCGTATACCTCCCATTACGGTTAAGACCTTAGGATCTGTAATGCATTGACGAGTAGAATTATAATGAAAAGGCGTGACCAAACAGTCATCATATTGTCTAGTGGAGGTATTAGTAGTGGTTATATCGGATAATAGAGGTCAGTAGGTTTACAGGTAAATATCATATGCCCTTAAGGTTGGATTAATATAGAGAATGATCATAACATTTCAAGAAGATCCATGAAGACGTAAATAGACAAGACAGTACATCAAGCAAGAAGTTCATTACCATGTATTTCATAACATTATCCCTATCTGTTAAATAATATGTCATACATTATATGCCATCTTTAAATGTGGCGAGGAATATTAACAGACCTTAGAGATAACAAAATAACATTTACAGAGAGCATACACTATATCAAATGTTTCCTCAATCCATACAACAGGTAGTATGAGACTCCCCAGGTACACACGCTGGTTAATCCCATCATGAGAAGCCTTTACCTTGTTATAACCAGTCCCAGTCCCAGTGCAGCCTGGTGAGTGGAGGCTATTGTGTGTCTTAGCACTGCTAGCTGATTCTCTGGGAGATATTCTTCATGTCTGTCAGTACCATTGTTCTGTAACTGCGCTCCAGACCCTCCATGTACTCCAGGTAATTACTCACTCTGAAGCCTTGGATGGGCTCCTCCTGATGGGAACCAAGGGGAGAGAAGAGAACACAACAACTCTGGTTAGGCTCCTAGCCCAGTCCTTTATGGGCTGTGTGTGTGTGTGTGTGTGTGTGTGTGTGTGTGTGTGTGTGTGTGTGTGTGTGTGTGTGTGTGTGTGTGTGTGTGTGTTAAAGGGGGTGGCATAGCAATATACAACCAACAACAACATGGACTTTAACAACCTGTAATAGTGCAGCCAGTATGTGTATGGCCTAATTACAACTTAACAACCCCAATTGGATCGTGGCCAAAATGCTAGGGACAAAATAACATTTAATTAGGTAATTTGTACTGTCAGCAACTTAATTTAAAGTGTTATAATTACTCTCGGAGTGATACGTCATTTATGTTGATTCTCAAGTTCACAGACAATGAAAATGAAAAACAGAGCAAATAAACTTTGATGGGTTCCCTGGAAACTCGATGTGTGCAGTGCAAGTGTATTCTGTTTGCTACCTACAGAACACAGCACCCAAAGGGCAGGTTGGCATTTATTGTCATGAATCTTGCCCTGGAGGCAGCTCTGCAGGGGTCACTAGCTAGCACAGCCAGAAAGTCATAAAATCTGATTTTAAACCTAACCTTAACCACACTGCTAACCCTAATGCCTAACCTTAAATTATGATCAAAAAGCTAATTCTATTTTCCTGAATTTTTACAATATAGCCCCAAAAGCCAATGACACAGAACAACCCTGAGCAAACAATTGCAAAGCTAATTTCACATCCTTATATTCATGCTTTAAATGATGTAGAGAGGTACAGGTACAAGGTCTGTGTGTTTGAGTACATTGCCAGATATAAGGCAGACCTGTTATCTATGTTCGGGAGCACATTCACTTAAATCACCCCGTCAAAACATGAGAGTTCCATCATGACAAATGTGAGATTAGCATGAAGAACATCCTACTTAATGGAGTGACATTTCTTCCTGTTTCTTTCTCTGTAGTTGATAATGGCAATCTTTGTTTGAAAATCCATCAAAATGACTAATGCAATTTCCCTTTATCACTTACCACCCGCACATTGACTCTGTACTGGTACCCTGCCTCCCTACTGTTATTTTATTTTACTGCTGCTCTTTAATTATTTTCATTTTTTAACATCTATTTTTTACTTAACACTTATTTTGCATTGTTGGTTAAGGGTTTGTACAGTGAGGGAAAAAAGTAGTTGATCCCCTGCTGATTTTGTACGTTTGCCCACTGACAAAGACATGATCAGTCTATCATTTTAATGGTAGGTTTATTTGAACAGTGAGAGACAGAATAACAACAAAAAAATCCAGAAAAACGCATGTAAAAAATGTTATAAATTGATTTGCATTTAAATGAGGGAAATAAGTATTTGACCCCTCTGCAAAACATGACTTAGTACTTGGTGGCAAAACCCTTGTTGGCAATCACAGAGGTCAGACGTTTCTTGTAGTTGGCCACCAGGTTTGCACACATCTCAGGAGGGATTTTGTCCCACTCCTCTTTGCAGATCTTCTCCAAGTCATTAAGGTTTCGAGGCTGACGTTTGGCAACTCGAACCTTCAGCTCCCTCCACATATTTTCTATGGGATTAAGGTCTGGAGACTGGCTAGGCCACTCCAGGACCTTAATGTGCTTCTTCTTGAGCCACTCCTTTGTTGCCTTGGCCGTGTGTTTTGGGTCATTGCCATGCTGGAATACCCATCCACAACCCATTTTCAATGCCCTGGCTGAGGGAAGGAGGTTCTCACCCAAGATTTGACGGTACATGGCCCCGTCCATCGTCCCTTTGATGCGGTGAAGTTGTCCTGTCCCCTTAGCAGAAAAACACCCCCAAAGCATAATGTTTCCACCTCCATGTTTGACGGTGGGGATGGTGTTCTTGGGGTCATAGGCAGCATTCCTCCTCCTCCAAACACGGCGAGTTGAGTTGATGCCAAAGAGCTCCATTTTGGTCTCATCTGACCACAACACTTTCACCCAGTTCTCCTCTGAATCATTCAGATGTTCATTGGCAAACTTCAGACGGGCATGTATATGTGCTTTCTTGAGCAGGGGGACCTTGCGGGCGCTGCAGGATTTCAGTCCTTCACGGCGTAGTGTGTTACCAATTGTTTTCTTGGTGACTATGGTCCCAGCTGCCTTGAGATCATTGACAAGATCCTCCCGTGTAGTTCTGGGCTGATTCCTCACCATTCTCATGATCATTGCAACTCCACGAGGTGAGATCTTGCATGGAGCCCCAGGCCGAGGGAGATTGACAGTTCTTTTGTGTTTCTTCCATTTGCGAATAATCGCACCAACTGTTGTCACCTTCTCACTAAGCTGCTTGGCGATGGTCTTGTAGCCCATTCCAGCCTTGTGTAGGTCTACAATCTTGTCCCTGACATCCTTGGAGAGCTCTTTGGTTCTCTGGCCATGGTGGAGAGTTTGGAATCTGATTGATTGATTGTTTCTGTGGACAGGTGTCTTTTATACAGGTAACAAACTGAGATTAGGAGCACTCCCTTTAAGAGTGTGCTCCTAATCTCAGCTCGTTACCTGTATAAAAGACACCGGAGAGCCAGAAATCTTTCTGATTGAGAGGGGGTCAAATACTTATTTCCCTCATTAAAATGCAAATCAATTTATAACATTTTTGACATGCGTTTTTCTGGATTTTGTTGTTGTTATTCTGTCTCTCACTGTTCAAATAAACCTACCATTAAAATTATAGACTGATCATTTCTTTGTCAGTGGGCAAACGTACAAAATCAGCAGGGGATCAAATACTTTTTTCCCCTCACTGTAAGTAAGCATTTCACTGTAAGGTCTACAACGGTTGAATTCGGCACGTGACAAATACAATTTGATTTGATTTGATTTAAACACCGTCAAACGTGGAAATAGTGAAGAGTGAACCGATAAGAATTCATACAGCAAGTAAGGTACCAAAACTGTACTGCAGCCTAGCTCTTACTCTTACTGTGAGAGAGAAGTAAGTGGGGGCAGAAGTGGACATGTTGGAAGGCACTTCAGAAAATGTTTCGGAGCAGTTCTTTGAAAAAGCCAAGTCATGTTGGCTGAGAACCTATGGCAGCATTGTGTAATGACAGGCAATTTCTTTAGAATTTTGATGAACAAAGAAAGGCTTTATTTTCAATTTTTCATGCCACATCTGAGTCACTGACAATGCTTTTTCACTTTGTGTCTTCCACCGCATCAAGCTGCAGACTGATATCAAGAACAATTGTAACAAGTCATTTCCATTTCAATGTTTTATTTAGATGAAATATAGATATACTCAGCAGGCGAAGATATGTACAAAACCTAACAAACCCATCCGAAGTCTGCCTAAAACCGTTCTCCTATTGTTCAAAGTGTGAACCTCAATGAGCATTTACAAGGTAGCATGTTTCAAACTTTCCAAGTTGAACCGAGGACAATGAAGAGACTGCTTAAGCGTCTTTCTGTCAAGCTGTATTTGCGAAAAAATCCATGCTACAATTCATCACAAGAATATCTCCAGAGACAGCCATAACATGATCTTTTATTCAAACGACTGTCTGTTGATGGAGCGGGGACTGCTGTTATCTGCTGAAGACAGATTCACTAACCCCAGGTAGACAAACTCACCTTGAGGAAGACCTGCAGGTCCTGGGTCTGCGTGTGCTGCAGGATGTCCTGATGCAGGTGTTTCAGCACAGCCACACACATGTACACCTGGTAGTCCGGCCCCATCACCACGCAGGTAGACACGTAGTGGCAGATCTCAGGCCAGTCCAGGTAGTTCCAGAAACACTGGCCCAGCCACTGCACACACATCTGGAGAAACACCCGCCCACACATTTAATAAATGATATAAAGAATGTAAACCAGAAAATGACATGGTTGAAGTGATGAAAATAAAGGGTTATGCATTTTTTTAATCTAATGACTTAGAGAAAATAGTATTAAGGCTTTGATGCAGTAGCTTTGTGGAGCATGCAGAGTGGTTGTAAGTCTACCATGTGCTTTACCTACTGGGGTTACATGAAAAATAACTGGACATTCTGACTCTAACCATAATTAACTGACTTAATACTCTACCTAGGATACTGAAACACGCAGATGACAATAGCTATTTCCAATGCATAATGGATTACTATCAAGCTCATGTAATGCACCAATAAAAACAATGACAAATCCTAATTTGTTTTCTTGTTAGAATCACCAGTACACTGGACACCCTTTACAGTTCTTTTTAACTGGGCCTCCAAGATCATGTTGAGAATGCATTGTCTTCTCAAGGTATTTTCAATGACAGTATTTTGAAGGGAAAGAAGTGACATTCAACTTGAACTATTCAGTCAGACAGAACTAACTCAAGTCCCAGCCTGTTCTGCTAGGCCCTCCACCTCTGCCCACCCACTCCACACTGCAATTTACTCTATATGTTTATGTTCTCTGAATATTCTTCCTAGCAACTCCAAAGGATGTGGCATAGCTGCAGCTGGAATTTTAACGAGGCACCCAGGTGCACAATAATATCTTGCCATTCCTGATGAAGGTGACCTCATCTGAAGGTCAGATTCATTACGTGATTCCTGATTTGTCATGTTTTCAAAACGTAATTTATTAGGGCATATTTTCATTTATGGCAAAGAATATACTGGATTTATTTACATTTTACATTTTAGTCATTTAGCAGACACTCTTATCCAGAGCGACTTACAGTTCGTGAGTGCATACATTTTTCATACTGGCCCACTGTGGGAATCGAACCCACAACCCCTGGCGTTGCAAACGCCATGCTCTACCAACTGAGCTACACGGGGCAATAAAACCTTGCAAGACACAGATGACTATAAGCACGATTAGCAGTCATACATTCTGTAGCACTCGATTGCTCCACATTGAACGGCCCACTTCTTTCAGACAAATTATGCAGTAGTGCGGCTGTAGTAATAACAAAATAATAATTAAAAAACAGCAAAGATGATCACAAGAGGGGAAGAAACTAACACGCTTCACTTCAGAGTTCTGGTGCTGATAGGAACATGTTCTTTCCAAACTCTAAAAGCTAGGACTACGAATACTACATTTATCAAATACTCCAAGTGCAAGATATGTCCACAGTCCACTATCTTACCTAGATAGAAACAACTATGTTCTCAGAAATAAAAACTACTTCAGGCCAAACTGAGCTGCTTTGAACTTGTGGTCAAGTTCCTGGAGAATGTCAAGTTCGTGGCAGGGGAGTACTTCAAGTGTTTAAGTAACTATTGTTCACATTCACACTCAACCCAATCACTCACACACACCACACACACACACACACACACACACACACACACACACACACACACACACACACACACACACACACACACACACACACACACACACACACACACACACACACACACACACACACACACACAAAAATACAATATATTCGCATAGTGGTCCTAAGGTTTCTAATAGTATAGCCTGTACGACCTACAAGGACCAGCCTAGAAACAAATTTGGGCCATGGCTGCCCTAAAGACACAAGTAGTAACATCTGGATCAGGGATAAAGCACACCAACCACTGGTCCACCAGAAAAACAAGAGCCAAGCTATCAATAGGAAAATAAAAGGAAACCAAAAAGGAAACTGGAGGCATCAACTTTCACTGCATGACAAGCAGAAACATATTAAGCTTAAGGAGTCACTAGACTTTTAAAAACACAGTTCATAGATTTAGTACAAAGGTACTAAAATGTATTGTACGTTTAACATCTGAGTAATGCATGACTTAAAAGTCACCCCTTCAAAATAAAAGCTTGTCTAAGATTACCCCAAAATATTCAGGTAAAGTCATGAGGAAAGCCAGCCAAAGACTCGCGGGGGAAATAGACACACACGCACACACTCTTCAACCTCTATCTTGGAAATGCATATATCCGAGCAGCAATACAAAAAAATATCCATGAAGTATATACGCATATTCTCTGAAAAAAAACAAATAATGTATGAAAACATCCCTGCTATCATGTCTCTAAATACAAAACTTCTACCAATAACTTGCTTCAGTGTAACAAGAGAAGTCATTTTTCCTCTTTTTTTTGGTCTTTTTATCAGTCCTCAGGTGTGAATGGTATGGATGACTGTCTTCTTTTTGTCGGACAATCCACCCGGCTTTTCGGGTCGAACTCCCCCGGCACGAGCCGGACGGTCGGATCGGCCTCCTCCTCCACCGCGGCCTCCCATTCCTCCACGGGCTCCCCCGCGCCTACGCCCAGGGCGGCCCAGGTCTCCAAAGTTGATCTCCAGCTGGGCCGTGATGTCATTGGCGGGCTTGCGGAAGTGGTGGTCCGGGCCGATTTCATCAGGGTTTCCCTTGAACAGGGGGGTCATGTCTGCTTCAATCACAGCTGGTCTGTCTTTAGGCTTTTCGTCGCTGACATCTTCACTCTTGGACTTGTGCAGCACGTAGCCCTTGTTCCACTTGCTGTCGGCGCCCTCATTGGGATTGCGGATGTTGAACTCCACCTTGGCACGTTCCTTGTCCTGCATGGCCTTCCATTCGTCCAGGGTCATCTCCTTGGGGCCCTCCTCCTTAGGTTCCTCTACTTCGTTCTCCTTATTCTCAGAGTCAGCAGGAGGGTGTTCCTCTCCCTCAGGGGTTTCCTCAGGGGCAGTAGTCTGTTCAGCATCACCACTCATTTCATCCTTGGGGTTCCCCCGGTTGTGAGTGCCACTCCCGCCGCGCTTCTCCTCAGATTTCTGAGGTTTGTCGCCGCCACTGTGTCTGTCGAAGTCTCGTTTGCCGCGGGAGTCGAAGCCGTCGCCCCAGCCCATGCCCGTCCCCCACGCCCACCACGGGTGCCACCACGCCCTCTGGGGGGCCGGTCTCCTAGAGGCTTGTCTGCAGAGAACTCTCATCTCTCTCCGCCATCGGGTTTGTCCTCGAGGGGTTTGTCGAAGCGGTGCTCGCGTGGGGGTCTCCTGTTGTCCGGCCTCCTGTTGCCGGTGGGCCGCTCTTCCCCCTGCCCGCCCTAGGTGCCAGGCTGGCCCTGCTGGTCCGGCCTCCGGCCCACCCGCCTGATAACTTCTTTCTTCAGAGGTACTGGAGCCTGAGTTTCATCTTTCTTGTCAAGGAGCGGATTCTTCCTGTCCTTCTGTGACTCTTTCTTGGGCTGCTTGGCAGCTTGGGCTGCTGACTTGGTGATACCAGCTGCAGCCGTCTCTTTCTTCTTGTTCTCCGCCGCCTTTAACACCTCGAACGGATCTGATTCATCGTTCAATAGCTGGTCAAACCGATTCGTTACGACGCAGCTGAAGCCTTCTTGCAGTTGTCCGGGCATGATGGCGCCCCTTCAGCGGGATTGACCTCCGATTCTACGAGACTGGGTGCGAACAATTCCCTAAATACTGCCACAAGATGGCTGGGAAATATACCTCTATTTATATATAGAGCTGTGATTGGGAAACTGGGAGGAAGTGCATTCAATAGTTTGCACCCAATGACTTTGACTTAAAAGCTATATTATAAACTTTTTTATTGTGAGAGACTCTTTGGCTTATACTCCCTGTTGACACATATTACATCTGAGATGACAGTCCGCCTGAAACACTGAGCCAAAAGGAGATGAGATCAAAAGCAAGATTTTCAAGGTGAACTTTTTGTTTGAGGATGAAAGTTTACGTCAAGGGAATCAACTGTGGCAAGCTGAACAACAGAGGGATTCTGCAGCCTCAGTTCTGAACTTTTACATGGAGAATAAGTACTACTGTCACCTTGAGGAAAACGTATTATGCTGTTTCATGAAAACTCATTTCTATCCCATTTTAATGGTCATAAGCAAGGTCAAAATGGCCCCTAGGGTGTCAATTTGATTATAATACGATCCTGATGAGAGGAAAAGTGAAAGGACAGAGGGTGATATTGTACCTGGGAGGGGGTAAAACCGGACATCCTGAAGGCAGAGAAGACCAGAGGCACTTCAGTCTTCAGTAGCATCTCTACATAGTGTGTTGTGCATGAGTAGACTGGATGGATGCTAGACTGAGCAATCTCCATGGGGAGGTGAACCTAAAAGGTGAAGAAAAGTTCAGATTTACAAAGCATAGAAATAACTACAAAAACCAAGATCTGTAGGATAATAGCTAAACTTGCCAAATGTGAACGTCAAATGCCACACAAACCGACAGCAGACAGCCGATTGGTCTGATTTTCACTCCTCAATTTCCTTAAAACAACAGAATTGTCAGAGCCCAATGCTTTCAGAGAATGCAGTGTGTGTGCGTGCGTGTATGTGTTTCCCTGGGTACACTGTATAAATTTGCTACTATCACTTAATTACTTGTCCCTCTGTTCTCCTAGGTATTGACAGCATCGACCGCATCAAATTTACAGAGGATTGTACCTACCGCTGTTTAGTAATTCTCCCTCATCTGCGACATGGTGTGCTTACTACCATCTGCCTGGCAACATCCTGATTTGCATGCACTGCTGCTCGGATGGCAGAGCCATGAAGAATTGTAATCAGTTGTACAAACTCTTCCACCATTTCCAAGGCATATTCTTACTGCTGAAACTCTATTAACGGCTGGGTATTCACCGTCATCAGCAGCCAGAGATTGCTGCTTCCAAATGTAAATGGGGACAATGATAATGACTATTCCACCATAATCTTATCATATTCACCATTTCCATCAAGAAAACATGCAGTATTATGAATCCCTAGTCTACACAGATACAAACGAAAACATAACTCAAAACGTGTATGATTTGGCTTGTGGTGCATAAATTAGGTGAGAATATTTAGCATTAAAATGCTACTAATCTTTTCAATGTATGGCCATACAAATGACAGTATTTCATAAGAATCCAATTGCAGCAGGATTCATTACACACACCCACCAAATGAAAGAAGTGTTTATCTCCTTTCATACTTTAACCGTCCTCTTCATTGATTACTTCCAAAGCTGCATGCAAATAGAAGGCAGGGAGAAACAGAGGGAGAGAGCAGGGGGAGAAAAGGAAAAACAGCTACGCTCTATCCATCAGACTGGAGGCAGCTTGGTATTCAGTCCCTTCCCGGGAGAGCGAAGGGTGGGCTGCTGGACTCACCGATCCGTGGAGCCTGGCGGGCCAGAGGAAGGCTGATGTGAGCAGGGTGGAGAGGTGGAGGAGAAGGCGGAGGGCTCTCTCCATGTCTCCAGCCATGATGAGGAACACGGTGGAGGCGAACCAGTCGTGGCCAGGGTAGGCTCCCTGCAGAGTGTCTGGTGGAGGGGAGTCAAGGAGAGGCTCTGACAGAGTGCAACATTTGGGCTTGTCTGACTGGACATCACCATGGCCCCCCAGCAGAACAGCCAGACCAGGGGTAATGTCAGGGCCACTATAACAACCACAGCATCTTACCTAGCGCACCACAGGTCAGTCTCAGCAGGCAGGAGAGAGGGGTTAAAGATTGAGGGGCCCGAGGCGGGACGCAATGTGATTGACAGACACATACTGTAGGGGAGTGGACGCGACCAGTCATGATGATAAACATAGACGTATGAATCTGAATTTAAAACAGAGCATAGTCATGAGAGGCTCTTATCAGGGAATAAAGAGAGGAATCTCAGCAGAACTTCAAGTATCATTCTATTGAGGAAAATGTTTCTGAAAGCCTCGAGTGTTCATGTTGCATCCTTGAAAAAAGCAACGCATGTCTTTTTTTCTTAGGCAGGTGTAAAATATCTCTTCTTCCTCTGAGAGAAAATAATAGATATCACTTTACTGACTCTGGAATAGTCGAACATAGCTGATAAGGATACAAAGCTCCGACGTGAGTTTGGCTCTCTGTTGAGAGAGGAGCTCTTGGCAATGCTTCATCAAAAGACAGAGGTCCTGCTCAGAGTCATCCCTCAGTAACTTAAGATATCTCCCATACCTACAAACAAACAGACGCAAATTCAAACATTCAGGATTCTACTGTAGATCACACTTTGACTCATCTATTTAACAAATTATGTGGTGTGCAATCAGAACAATTAGGGTTAATAGAAGGAAATAATTAGTATAAATGAGCCTTGTCTTAATGCTCATCTCTTCATTAGCATATTGCACAAAGAGTATGCAATATCTTATTTGAGTTCATAGAAAGTTTACATATTGTTCTAGAATGTCTCTGCAATACCGCTGATCACCATATAATTCTGTAATAATCGTTTTTTTTTATCTTTATTGGCCGTTGAGTACCTACCCTCTCTGAGAAAATGGCTGGTGCTTACTGGGGGGATTGGAACAAAGCTGGGAGGTTCAGACTTTGAGGATGCAGACGGCGTTACCTGAGAGAGGCCTGAATCCCCAGCTGGTCCACATACGACAGGCTGCCAGTCTTTACGCCGCTCTCCGACGCTATAAAACACGCAATAAAGGAACTGGAAATTACCAGGGGTTTACTCACTCGCATTCCCCAGGCATCAATAAACATTTCAGTTCAATGACTGCGGCATGACACAAACCCTAATCTCGCATCAAGTGATACATCACAGAGACGATCAGACGAGTATTTTGTATTCATCATAGAAACCAATGCATGCTTTAATTGAGAAAATTACCTTGATGAGAGTGAAGTAAACCCAGACTGACACCTGCAGCTCTATGGAAACTACTCTTCCCTACTTATTGATATCAGTGCCACTCACTGATTGAAATTACTATCTAATGGAGATGAATGGCTTCTCTCTCCCATCTTCCATTGCCTGGGAGTGAGGTGAAGGAACTCCAGAAAATGACTCTCCACCACATAATGGCAGCCCCTCGACTTGAGCAAATCTGTGAGCCTGTTGTTAATGTCAATCACAAGCCATGACAGGAGAGGGGAAGAGAGCTAAACCGCACAGGATATGACAGCTGCTCCCCTGATTGGCCATTTGGTGAAAGGAATAACTTCACGGAGGAAAGGACAAAACAGGGCATGGGAGTGTGAGAGAGAAATGGTTTTCTTGACTTTTCCAAGTTTCTTTAGACCTTTTCTACGATTCACCGTTCATTGTGAGCTACAGCCCACAAAGAGACTCCAGTGTTTGTTTGAGATAAGCAAGCGAAGCGGAGAAAGAATACATAAAATTAAATACAAATGTAATTTTATTGGTCACGTGCCGAATACAACAGGTGTAGACTTCACAGTGAAATGCTTAATTAACAGTGCAGAGTTAATTAAGACACATATTTGCTAAATAAAAAAGGAAATAGTAACACAATAAAAACAATAACAAGGCTATATACAAGGAGTACCAGTACCGAGTTAATGTGCAGGGGTACGAGGTAGTTGAGGTAATACAGTATGTACATGTGGGTAGGGGTACAAGTGACTAGGCAATCAGGATATATAATAAACAGAGTAGCAGCAGCGTGTGTGGAAGTGTGTCTGTGAGTGTGTGTGTATGGCTTCAATATGCATGTGTGTGTGTTTTGTGTGTGTGAGTGTGTGGGTAGAGTTTAGTGAGTGTGCAAGGGAGTCAGTGCAAAACAATTAAGATAAATAAATAAGTAATAAAAGGGGCCTTTTGGTCACAGACTTGGCGCTTTGACACCGCCTGGTATAGAGGTCCTGGATGGCAGGGAGTTCGGCCCCAGTGATGTACTGGGCCGTACTCACTACCCTCTGTAGCGCCTTGCGGTCGGATGCCAAGCAGTTGCAGTCAAGATGCTCTCAGTGGTGCAGCTGTAGAACTTATGTGGGCCCATGCCAAATCTTCTCAGCCTCCTGAGGGGGGGGAAGAGGCGATGTCATGCCCTCTTAATGAATGTGTTGGTGTGTTTGGACCATGATAGGTCCTTAGTGATGTGGACACAGAGGAACTTGAAGCTCTCGACCCGCTCTACTACAGCCCTGTCGATGAGAATGGGGGCGTATTCGGCCCTCCGTTTCCTGTAGTCCACGATAAGCTCCTTTGTCTTGCTGACGTTGCGGGAGAGGTTGTTGTCCTGGCACTACACTGCCAGGTTTCTGACCTCCTCCCTATAGGCTGTCTCATTGTCGTTGGTGATCAGGCCTACGACCGTTGCGTTGTCGGCAAACTTAATGATGGTGTTGGGAGTCGTGCACGGCCATGCAGTCATGGGTGAACAGGGAGTACAGGAGGGGACTGAGCACGCACCCATGAGGGTTCCCCCGTGTTGAGGGTCAGCGTGGCAGATGTGTTGTTGCCTACCCTCACCACCTGGGGGCAACCCGTCAGGAAGTCCAGGATCCAGTTGCAGAAGGAGGTGTTCAGTCCCATGGTTCTTAGCTTAGTGATGAGCTTGGAGGGTACTATGGTGTTGAACGCCGAGCTGTAGTCAATGAACAGCATTCTCACGTAGGTGTTCCTTTTGTCCAGATGGGAAAGGGCAGTGTGGAGTGCAATAGAGATTGCGTCATCTGTGAATCTGTTGGGACAGTATACGAATTGGAGTGGGTCCTAGGGTTTCTGGAATGATGGTGTTGATATGAGCCATGACCAGCCTATCAAAGCATTTCATTGCTACAGATGTGAGTGCTATGAGGCGGTAGTCATTTAGACAGGTTACCTTCGCGTTCTTAGGCACAGGGACTATGGTGGTTTGCTTGAAACATGTTGGTATTAGAGACTGGGTCAGAGAGAAAATGTCAGTGAAGACACTTGCCGGCTGGTCAGCGCATGCTTTGAGTACTGATCCTGGTAATCAGTCTGGGCCTGCGGCCTTGTGAATGTTAACCTGTTTAAAGGTCTTAAAGTTCTCTCACATCGGCTACGGAGAGCGTGATCATACAGTCGTCCGGGACAGCTGGTGCGCTCACGCATGGTTCAGTGTTGCTTGCCTCGAAGTGAGCATAGAAGGAATTTAGCTCGTCTGGTATGCTCGCATCACTGGGCAGCTCTCGGCTGGGTTTCCCTTTGTAATCTGTGATAGTTTGCACCTCTGCACAGCAGTATGTTACCAAGTCAACCATATATTATTAGACATTTATTAACAGAATTCTACAGGAACACATAAGGGAACATACATAAGGGAAGGGGTCTCAAAAGGTTATAAAGGTACGCTATTAGCCTAGTTGTCTAAGTTTGAGGAAACCCAAAAACTAAGCTCCAAGAAAACATGAAAAGAAAGATTTCAAATCAACACCAATGCTTCATTGACTGGTCTAAAGTTAATAGCTAGCTCCCATTAATAAATAATGGGCAGTGAGGTCTCATTGGACCCTGAAAACGTTGATGTGTGTTGATAGCATAATAAGGCTAAAAGAACACTGAGGATCCTTTGAGCTTCAAGGGAAAGTTAGTTAAATAACTAGTGATGAGATGGAGAGAATGTGCTTACTAAGAGTTTTCTTGAGTGATGCCTCAACTGGCTTCACTGAACAGTAAGTAACCTGCCTTTGGACTTCTGGACAAAGAGCCAGATGTCATGAGCACTTTGTATGAGATAAATAATACATGGAAAATGATAATAACACAAATGAAAAACCCATATTTGAGTTGGATTTAAAACGTTCCATTCTATATGAGTGGCGGATGGATGCTGATTTGTCCTGACATTAGATGTCCACATGGATGAGAGACTCATCACTAATTAAAACAGTTAATTATAGATAACAAAGCTGTGAAAGTGACAGCAATGGCAGCGTTTTATCATTTTCTCTTTACTTTTGATTGCTAAATGTGTCACCACTAGGAAAGCTTCAAGCCAAAATCCACAAAAAAAGCAAGATGAATGCAAAAACAGTTATGCATAATGAATGAAAAATGTGCATGTAGTGTATTTTCAAACAATTATTTTTGCTGGGAGGACTACCGACATTTCAGTAAGGCACTTTGGGTGGGAGACTGGGAGTGCCTGTCGGGGTAATATCTCCATTGTCATTCCTTTATAAGCTAAAAGGGCCTGGCGCACGACACACGCCTTTCCATATCAATTAAATGTAAAGGTCAGAGGGAGATAGGTTTCTGACATGGTATGGAAGGAAGCGTGTGTCGTTGTCATAGGGCTAAGGCATGTTCCTCCCAGGCCTGTCTTTCCTCTATGTTCCACAGACACGTCCAATGGCAGAAAGTCTCACTCACTCACTCACTCACTCACTCACTCACTCACTCACTCACTCACTCACTCACTCACCTATGTAGTCTGCAGGTGGGAAGAAACGCTCTGACGGCGAAGAAGAGAGGTGCAACACAGCCTTCTCCAGTAGATCAGCCAGGACTGGGGCGGAGACAGGAAACACATAGTGGGTTTTTAGGAACATCACAGAGGCCTTTGAAAAGCCATTTCTCTTCAATGATACATCAGGCAAGTACAAATTGAGCTGCTTTTACTGTACACACAGCAGGGAAAATAGGAAGGTAATCAAGCATCTTGTTTATCTAATATACGAAGAAAGGAAGCTCTGTGTAGACAATTTTTATAATTTAAGATACATCAAAGGCCCTCCTCCTGGGCACTTCTTTGTCTCTGAATTAAATAAGAAATCATGAAGTCTCTTACTCTGCACTCCGCGATCCCTTCACAAGCAATAATTTAGAATGGAACTCTTTTAGATTGACATTCAGAGGAAGCAATTGAACACACAATGAATCATGACGGTTTCGATGAATAGCGACCGATAAATGACATGAACACCCTCAGAGACCGTAACAGTAATTTACAAGTATCGTAAATTACAAGTACAGTAAATGAAAATCTTATGTGGGTAAAATAGTAATCTTAACTATCTTTAGTTATTTACTGTAACTAAAGATAGTTTACCTGTTCAAAGTGGTCATTGATACACTGCAGTTATATGCAGAGAGCTATTGGTTCTTCATTATCTAGTAGTCTATCAGCACACTCAATATGGGCCTATCATTTCATCCACTGACAAATTGATTGTCCACTGACAAATTGATCGTACATTTATATGTGGGAACTTAATGGACTATCAAATGTTAACATACTGTGTCCCCTGTCTGTGGTTTGAATATAAACAAGATGAGTTATAACCCAACAGAGCTATCGTTTTCAAATACAGTGTGAAACGTACTGATTGTAGCATATCATGTAATGGCAAGAACATTGAAATGTTGATTCAGGGATTTTATTGATAAACAATTCAAGGTCAGAAGTCTAGGTCTGGGTTTTTTCCCTTCTGACCATGTGACCTGACCAGGAATATCTCTGTATCGTATCTATGGCCCAGAGTTGTTCCTGGTCAGACGACGTGGTCTAGAAAAACGTATTGCCCTACACATAACATCATTGTATATTACCCACCGTTCCCTGAGACAATGTTGGACTTGGTGGTCATGACTTTGCAGTACTGTCTCCTGCAGGTATCCATCCAGCTCCCATCCTTCTCCATGTTCTTGGTGGAGGCCAGGAAGGTACTTATCTCAGAGTCTACAGACAAAACAAAAACACTTTGCTCACTCCGACTACAAAATGCATTCATTCACATTCTCATTTACCTTCAGGAGAGTCTTTCGCCTCCATTATGCAATCAGAGACATATTTTTTTTCATGACCCTGACCTTTTAAACAACATACATACACTACCAGTCAAAAGTATTACTATTTTTTACATTGTCGAATAATAGTGAAGACATCCAAACTATGAAATAACACATATGGAATCATGTAGTAACCAAAAAAGTGTTAAACAAATCAAAATATATTTTATATTTGAGATTCTTCAAATAGCCACCCTTTGCCTTGATGACAGCTTTGCACACTCTTGGCATTCTCTCAACCAGCTTCATGAGGTAGTCACCTGGAATGCATTTCAATTAACAGGTGTGCCTTCTTAAAAGTTAATTTGTGGAATTTCTTTCCATCTTAATGCGTTTGAGCCAATCAGTTGTGTTGTGACAAGGTAGGGGGGTATACAGAAGATAGCCCTATTTGGTAAAAGACCAAGTCCATATTATGGCAAGAACAGCTCAAATAAGCAAAGAGAAACAACAGTCCATCATTACTTTAAGACATGAAGGTCAGTCAATACGGAACATTTCAAGAACTTTGAAAGTTTCTTCAAGTGCAGATGTAAAAATCATCAAGCGCTATAATGAAACTGCTTCTCATGAGGACCGCCACAGGAAAGGAAGACCCAGAGTTACCTCTGCCGCAGAGGATAAGTTCATTAGGGTTACCAGCCTCAGAAATTGCAGCCCAAATAAATGCTTCATAGAGTTCAAGTCACAGACACAACATCAACTTCAACTGTTCAGAGGAGACTGTGTGAATCAGGCCTTCATGGTCAAATTGCTGCAAAGAAACCACTACTAAAGGACACCAATAATAAGAAGAGACCTGCTTGGGCCAAGAAACGAGCAATGGACATTAGACTGGTGGAAATCTGTCCTTTGGTCTGGAGTCCAAATTTGAGATTTTTGGTTCAAACCGCCATGTCTTTGTGAGACGCAGTGTGGGTGAACGGATGATCTCTGCATGTGTAGTTCCCACCCTAAAGCATGTAGGAGGAGTTATGGTGTGGGGTTGCTTTGCTGGTGACACTGTCTGTGATTTATTTAGAATTCAAGGCACACTTAACCAGTATGGCTACCACAGCATTCTGCAGCGATACACCATCCCATCTGGTTTGGGCTTAGTGGGAGTATCATTTGTTCTTAAACAGGACAATGACCCAGCACACCTCCAGGCTGTGTAAGGGCAATTTGACCAAGAAGGAGAGTGATGGAGTGCTGCATCAGATGACCTGGCCTCTACAATCCCCCGACCTCAACCCAATTGGGAAGGTTTGGGATGAGTCGGACCGCAGAGGAAAGGAAAAGCAGCCAACAAGTGCTCAGCATATGTGGGAACTCCTTCAAGACTGTTGGAAAAGCATTCCAGGTGAAGCTGGTTGAGAGAATGCCAAGAGTGTGCAAAGCTGTCATCAAGGCAAAGGGTGGCTATTTGAAGAATCTCAAATATAAAATATATTTTGATTTGTTTAACACTTTTTTGGTTCCATATGTGTTATTTCCTAGTTTTGATGTCTTCACTATTATTATACAATGTAGAAAATAGTAAAAATAAAGAACAACCCTTTAATGAGTAGGTGTGTCCAAACTTTTGACTGGTACTGTAGGTAGAGAGACATTTCTACCCCGAGCGAATCAGAGAGCACGAGTGGGGAGCCGAAAGGAAACCAACAAGTAGGAAAAAAATAGGTTACTTTTCCCGGTGACATCATCCACCCATTTGCAGCTTACTAAATGACGCAGCCACACTTCATATGCAATGTATAGGATCATGGTAGCTATCATAGTACCAACACTGACTTGCCCTCCCTCTGAATGGGGTGGCAATCGCTAAGTGCACAGACACAATGCACAAAACACTAAATGCTTCCTCCGAGCTTAGCTATCTGGCCACTGTAGCTAGTAACATTATAATTAAATCACAATGGATTTGTTTCCATGAAGCAGCTGCCTGTAGCTGGCTGCTGCTTTACTTAGCAAGCACAACAACTAGCTAGCGAATCATGCTAACCATTTAGCTAACGTTAGCCAGCTATCAAAACATTTATCTATGGGCTGTATGCGATTATGGAGAGTTAATTAAATTGTCATCTTGCTAGCTAGTTATCTAGCTGTGGTCATCTGGCCAGTATCAACAATGGCTTTCTACAACAATAGCAACATTAGCGCAGCTAGCTAGCTAACATTGGCTATCTAGACCATAAAGCTACTGCCACCTTCTGGTTTGGCGTATTTTAAGGCTGAGTGGCTGACGACTTCAAGATCTTTGCTGTGTGTACACAAAAGAGATCGACTGCAGACAGAGAGGAAGAGGCGAAGCGAGAGGGATAACTGGGCCCAAAATCTCTTCTCCAGCAGGTGGCAGGTTTGTTTTTGCACACCAAGCGAGGAGTTTTTGTATGGAGGTCAATGAGAGTGTTGAATTTGGTTAACAAATAATGTAATGACTTATTTGCTACGTGTAGCTTATTTGATCGAATAGAAGTTTCCTAATGATTAGGTTGTTATGAGTGTCCTGATATAAGTAGGACACGTGACTCATCTGCCCTCTCATTGGCTAGACTGGTCCCACCTGATCTTGCCTCTTCCCGACTGCCTTCCATTTTTTAAGACATTTATTTTCATTGTTAGAGTATCTGGTCAATATAATGGATAACCTGTCCTGCCGACATTGTTCAGAGGTGCTAAGTACTGTCGGCCGGCAAATGTTTGACAATCCTACAGATGTGTCTGAGCCTTTAATGTCTTGTTTTCAAGGCATCTACTGATTTAAGAGGGCATTATTTGTATTGAGTACTGTTGAATAACCTATGCTTATACACTGAGTGAACAAAACATTAGGAATACCCCCTTTTCCCTCAGAACAGCCTCAATTTGTCAGGGCATGGACTCTACAAAGTGTCGAAAGAGTGCCACAGGGTTGACTCAAATGCTTCCCACAGTTGTGTCAAGTTGGCTGGATGTCCTTTGGGGGTGGACCATTCTTGATACACACAGGAAACTTTTGAGCGTAAAAAACCCAGCAGCGTTGCAGTTCTTGAAACACTCAAACTGGTGTGCCTGGCACCTACTACCATACCCCTTTCAAAGGCACTTAAATATTTTGTCTTGGCCATTCACCCTCTGAATGGCACACATACACAATCCATGTCTCAATTTTCTCAAGGCTTAAAAAACCTTATTTAACCTGTCTTCTCCCCTTCATCTGTTCCTAATGTTTTGTACAGTCATTGTATATTTACACCACAGGCAGAAAGCAGAACTGTAAAGAACGGTAAGCATTAATTAACCAGGGGAGGATCATTGGCACCAGGTGCAGATCTTGTAGCTGAATAAACAGCATTGTTCAAGAGACCCTGTCCCAAACTCCATAGCTAATGACAGACATGCTCACACAAACCCTTCATTTACACACTTCAAACAACAAACTATTTTTTCACCTAATTGGAAAAGTATTGCTGCATATCTAATACACTTACCATGGTCAAGCAGAATGTTCCTCTTACCCTGTTTACCCTTGGTTGTCTTTGGGAGAGTCAGTATGTAATACTTATCCTGTTTACCCCGGGTTGTCTTTGGGAGATTCAGTATGTAATACTTACCCTGTTTACCCCGGGTTGTCTTTGGGAGATTCAGTATGTAATCCTTACCCTGTTTACCCGGGTTGTCTTTGGGAGATTCAGTATGTAATATTTACCATGTTTACCCCGGGTTGTCATTGGGAGATTCAGTATGTAATACTTACCCTGTTTACCCCGGGTTGTCTTAGGACGATTCAGTATGTAATACTTACCCTGTTTACCCGGGTTGTCTTTGGGAGATTCAGTATGTAATACTTACCATGTTTACCCCGGGTTGTCATTGGGAGATTCAGTATGTAATACTTACCCTGTTTACCCCGGGTTGTCTTAGGAAGATTCAGTATATAATACTTACCCTGTTTACCCCGGGTTGTCTTAGGAAGATTCAGTAGGTAATACTTACCCTGTTTACCCCAGGTTGTCTTAGGGAGATTCATTATATAATACTTACCTTGTTTACCCCAGGTTGTCTTAGGAAGATTCAGTATATAATACTTGGGCAGAGGGTATGATGAAAACATCGGCCATGGATAAGGGTCAGTGCCCTAAAAGAGATGAATAATCATTATGTTAAAATATATGTGATCACTCTGTTTACAAAGTCCTACAAGCGTAGGTATCTCATATTATTGACACACCTAATACAAATATGGTGTACAGTGCTATGAAAAAGTATTTGCCCCCTTTCTAATTTTCTCTACTTTTGCATATTTGTGATACTGAATGTTATCAGATCTTCAACCAAAACATAATATTAGATAAAGGGAACATAAGTGAACAAATAACAACAATTACATATTTATTTCATAAACAAAGTTATGCAACACCCAATTCCCCTATGTGAAAAAGTAATTGCCCCCTTATACTCAATAACTGGTTGTGCCACCTTTAGCTGCAATGACTCCAACCAAATGCTTCCTGTAGTTGTTGATCAGTCTCTCACGTCGCTGTGGAGGAATTTTGGCCCACTCTTCCATGCAGAACTGCTTTAACTCAGTGACGTGTGGGTTTTCAAGCATGAACTGCTCGTTTCAAGTCCTGCCACAACATCTCAATTGGGATTAGGTCTGGACTTTGACTAGGCCATTCCAAAACTTCAAATTTGTTGCTTTTTAGCCATTTTCATGTAGACTTGATTGTGTGTTTTGGATCATTGTCTTGCTGCATGACCCAGCTGTGCTTCAGCTTCAGCTCACAGACGGATGGTCTGACATTCTCCTGTAGAATTCTCTGATATAGAGAAGAATTCATGGTTCCTTCTATTAAGGCAAGTCGTCCAGGTCCTGAGGCAGGAAAGCATCCCCAAACCATCACACAACCACCACCATGCTTGACCTTTGGTATGATGTTCTTACTGTGGAATGCAGAGTTTGGTTTTCGCCAGGCATTAATGGAACCATGTCGTCCAAAAAGTTATACTTTTGAATCATCTGTCCATAGAACGTTCTTCCAAGAGTCTTGATGATCATCCAGGTGCTTTAGGGGCAACCTTGAGTCAACTTTTTGGACGAGATGGGTCCCATTATGCCTGGCGAAAACCAAACACTGCATTCCACAGTAAGAACATCATACCAAAGGTCAAGCATGGTGGTGGTGGTGTGATGGTTTGGGGATGCTTTGCTGCCTCAGGACCTGGACGACTTGCCTTAATAGGAGGAACCATGAATTCTGCTCTGTATCAGAGAATTCTACAGGAGAATGTCAGACCATCCGTCTGTGAGCTGAAGCTGAAGCGCAGCTGAGTCATGCAGCAAGACAATGATCCAAAACACACAATCAAGTCTACATGAAAATTGCTAAAAAGCAACAAATTGGAAGTTTTGGAATGGCCTAGTCAAAGTCCAGACCTAATCCCAATTGAGATGTTGTGGCAGGACTTCAAACGAGCAGTTCATGCTTGAAAACCCACACGTCACTGAGTTAAAGCAGTTCTGCATGGAAGAGTGGGCCAAAATTCCTCCACAGCGACGTGAGAGACTGATCAACAACTACAGGAAGCATTTGGTTGGAATCATTACAGCTAAAGGTGGCACAACCAGTTATTGAGTGTAAGGGGGCAATTACTTTTTCACACAGGGGAATTGGGTGTTGCATAACTTTGTTTATGAAATAAATGAAATAAATATGTAATTGTTGTGTTATTTGTTCACTTATGTTCCCTTTATCTAATATTAGGTTTTGGTTGAAGATCTGATAACATTCAGTATAACAAATATGCAAAAGTAGAGAAAATTAGAAAGGGGGCAAATACTTTTTCATAGCACTGTATTACTGATTGTCTGTAGATGCTATGTAATAAGTGAAATCTGAGCTATTCTACGTGTAAAGATTTAGAATATACAGTACCAGTCAAAAGTTTGGACACACCTACTCATTCAATGATTTTTCATTTTTTAACTAATTTCTACATTGTAGAATAATAGTGAAGACATCAAAACTAGGAAATAACACATATGGAATCATGTAGTAACCAAAAAAGTGTTAAAAGAAACAAAATATATTTTATATTTGAGATTCTTCAAAATAGCCACCCTTTGCCTTGATGACAGCTTTGCACACTTGGCATTCTCTCAACCAGCTTCATGAGGTAGTCACCTGGAATGCATTTCAATTAACAGGTGTGCCTTCTTAAAAGTTAATTTGTGGAATTTCTTTCCTTCTTAATGCGTTTGAGCCAATCAGTTGTGTTGTGACAAGGTAGGGCTGGTATACAGAAGATAGCCCTATTTGGTAAAAGACCAAGTCCATATTATGGCAAGAACAGCTCAAATAAGCAAAGAGAAACATAGTCCATCATTACTTTAATAATAATAATAATAATAAGTCATTTAGCAGACGCTCTTATCCAGAGCGACTTACAGGAGCAATTAGGGTTAAGTGCCTTGCTCAAGGGCATAGACAGATTTTTCACCTAGTCGGCTAGGGGATTAGAACCAGCGACCTTTCGGTTACTGGCACAATGCTCTTAACCACTAAGCTACCTGCCGTTTTCGGTTACTGGCACAACGCTCTTAACCACTAAGCTACCTGCCGCCCCTAGACATGAAGGTCAGCCAATCCGGAAAATTTCAAAAACTTTGAAAGTTTCTTCAAGTGCAGTCGCAAAAACCATTAAGCGCTATGATGAAACTGGCTGTCATGAGGACCGCCACAGGAAAGGAAGACCCGGAGTAACCTCTGCTGCATTGGATAAGTTCATTAGAGTTACCAGCCTCAGAAATCGGCAATTAACTGCACCTCAGATTGCAGCCCAAATAAATGCTTCACAGAGTTCAAAGTCACAGACACATCTCAACATCAACTGTTCCGAGGAGAATGTGTGAATCCGGCCTTCATGGTCGAATTGCTGCAAAGAAACCACTACTAAAGGACACCAATGAGAAGAAGAGACTTGCTTGGGCCAAGAAACATGAGCAATGGACATTAGACTGGTGGAAATTTGTCCTTTGGTCTGATGAGTCCAAATTTGAGATTTTTGGTTCCAACCACTGTGTCTTTGTGAGACGCAGAGTAGGTGAACGGATGATCTCCGCATGTGTGGTTCCCACCGTGAAGCATGGAGGAGGAGGTGTGATGGTGTGGAGGTGCTTTGTTGGTGACACTGTCAGTGATTTATTTAGAATTCAAGACACACTTAACCAGCATGGCTACCACAGCGTTCTGCAGAGATTCGCCATCCAATCTGGTTTGCGCTTAGTGGGACTATCATTTGATTTTCAACAGGACAATGACCCAAAACACACCTCCAGGCTGTATAGGGGCTACTTTACCAAGAAGGAGAGTGATGGAGTGCTGCATCAGATGACCTGGCATCCACAATCACCCGACCTCAACCAAATTGAGATAGTTTGGGATGAGTTGGAAAAGCAGCCAACAAGTGCTCAGCATATGTGTGAAATCCTTCAAGACTGTTGGAAAAGCATTCCAGGTGACTATCTCATGAAGCTGGTTGAGAGAATGCCAAGCGTGTGCAAAGCTGTCATCAAGGTAAAGGGTGGCTACTTTGAAGAATCTCAAATATAAAATATATTTTGTTTCTTTTAACACTTTTTTGGTTACTACATGATTCCATATGTGTTATTTCCTAGTTTTGATGTCTTCACTATTATTTTACAATGTAGAAAATAGTAAAAATAAAGAAAAACCCTTGAATGATTAGGAGTGTCCAAACTTTTGACTGGTACTGTAAATCATCACATATGAACAATTCTGGTTTACTTTTCAGATGCAGTGTACTCTAAATGTTAATGGAGTTTTGTTTGCTCATCCTTATCATCTTGTCTGTGCTATTTACATTCATTAAAGACATGGTGGTATTGAAAGCATGTCTTTCCAGGTCAATAGTTTCTGTGTCACGGAATATCACAACATCCCTGGAACAGGTTACCATGATGAACCTTTTGTATGCAGATCATAGCATTAAGTGTAACACACAGTTCTGGAAAACCATTCCTTCAGTCATCAGGACTTCCTCTACTTGATGTAAGGCCAAGGGGTGTGAGTAGAAGAGCACTGACCTTCTGGAGGGCCCTAGGGGGAAGTCTCCTCTCCGATGGTCCTCCAATCACACTCATACGCACCAGGATGTGGTTCCTCTCTACAGATAGACCATCAATGATGAAATCTCTGAGAGAGGAGAGGGGGGAGAAAAGATGGGAGGAGAAATCTCCACTTCACAAATAAAACTGGCGTGCGTGCAGATATATTTATTTTGTGACCGGACAATATGGAGTGTTTCAATTCATGACCAGTCGCAATATCCATTAAGGAGGCATTCAAAACACACTTTTGGAAATTGCCTTTTGTTTACGCTTTATTTCATTTTACCATGACAAGGCAAATGATCCATTTCTTATTTTGTTGTGATTAACCTCTAACGGTGGAACCAAAGCCTGTCATAACATTATGAGGCACAGGAAAACAAAAACCTTTTCAAGTACCCTTCACCAGACGATGAATCAGTGATGTTGTCCTTCTGACATTGCAGCAACATGTCGGAAATGTTGTACTGTGACTCCAGAAGAAGGAGGGAGTCTAGGTTGCAGCACATCACACTAAGTAATCTGAAAGTACCCAAAAATACATAGATAAACACATTTTTCTTCTCAATGACATACAATTACAGATCGAACAGAATTAATCATTATAAAATGACTCAACTATTTGATTTAGAGTGCTTGCTCTGAAAACCCATTGGGTCTAGCTGCCTAATGCCTACAGACCTACAATGGACAGCATGTTGACTTTTTTCCAGGTCTTATAAAAGCTATAATTTGTTTCTGCTAGCCTGCCTTATTGCCTTGTATATCAACAGACTCCACAGAGGGCCAAGCCAGAGTGCTTTGCATAATAGGGAGAAAGAATCCCTAACTGAATTGTGGAAATAGATTTCAACATTAACGCAACAGTTGAGAGTAATAAATCATGAAAGCGGATGCAGGAGCGATGTGACGGGGACATTGTGTATCTGTGGAGAACATAACTGTGACATAAAACAGGCAGGTGGAAGTGAGCAGTAAAATATGAAAACCCTGGGCGTTATTGTTAAGTGACAGAGATGTCCCTCTCTAATGGCTAATAATAAAGGGATTTCCTACCTAGCAGTCTGTTCATATCAGCCTGGTCCCTTTACTGTGCAGTAACACAAGCCTATTGAACAGGGTTTGGACAGCAACACAACATACTGAAGCTGTACTCAACCAAAATGTGTCTTCCATTGCAGCCTGCTCTTTAACTCAAGACCAAAGCAATCTTGGGACCCTTGGAGCAATTCTAGATATAATTGTTTCAACACAGACAACAAACTGCAGGAAAGCAAGTTCTTGTAAACAGGAAAAAAGTCCTTGAGCAGAAATAATCCCACCAGTCAAATCATTAACTACAAGTGAAAGATTCTGTAGAAGCCAGCCAGGAGGCAGTAAACATTATAAAAGCTTGTTCTGCATTCAGGGAGTGAGGAGCTCCATCTTTGTTAATACCATTAGAGGCTCTGATAAGGAGTGCAGCGTGAGGGCAATTCATTATCATTATTTTAAGCATGAAAAAAGGGGGCCAACGTGCTGCTGAGACACTTGTGAAATGAACACTGAATAAAACCGTTCAAGCAAATTACACAGCCACAGCGTTTTGTCAACAGGAAGCCTTCCTCCTCAAAAACAAGAGTCTCCTAATTGATCCATTTTGCATATTTGGTGGAGCTGAGTGGGGCTCTCCTAAAAGAGTGTATCTCAGGCTCTTTCATCTGCAGTTTCCGCCACGCTCCCTGAGACACCAACACTGACTTGCCCTCCTTCTGACTGGGGCGGCCATCGCTAAGGATTCACTTTGACTTCAAAACCATTGTGTCCCTCTGGCAGAAAACAAGTACAGAACATTAAAAACAGCAGAGAGGAAATAGTCTAAATTAGTCAAAAGTTCAGGGGCGATGGTTTAAAAAAACAATAAGGTGTTTGTTAGAGAACAATCTAGAGACAGCCCTTTGAGTTGCTGTACAAAGAGATGGAGATGTGATCTGGTTAAGCAAGGAGAGGTGTGAGTTGTTGCTGTGATGGAGCATTCTGTCAAAGCAAGATTATTAATTCCTGTGATGCTGTGAACTGTCATCACGCCCCCAGTGTGATGGGCACCTTCAGTCATTCAGTTTGACGTCCACTGGAAGACAGAATGGGTTTGTGAGTTCTGAAGGCAGTCCATTTTCCACCTCATCCTTCATTGTTTATCATGCAGATCAACATCCAGCCTATATCTACAGTTATTTTCAAGATGTAGATGTTGTGTTCAGTTCCAAGGACATTAGTGTGGAGAAACCCTAACAAACAGTGAGTGAGCTAACACCCAGTCAAGCATGAGTAAGGCAGCTTGGAAGTGGAACAAAAAATACTTTCCTCATTTCCAAGGGCTACTTCCATGCCAGAGAAGAAATATAGCCCCCCAGCATTGAGAAATGGTTACCAGGTGGCCCGTACTCACAGTGCTGTGAATTATTTATCCTCCACTAGGAAACTGGTTTACTCACCCATAAACACACAGCAGCTGCTACATTTACACTGTGCTGTGGCGTCAGAGACAAGACAGGTCTAGACTGTCCTAATATGGACACCGTACACATCACTCTGACTAGTCCTTCTCCCTGTGATATCCTACCAGCCACTCCAGCGACACACAGATGGCTGTGACAGTTGTTGGGTGAAATGAGGACGTGAGGAGGGACAGTGGCTCAGTAATGATGACCTCTCCCCAGAGAGACAGAGAGTGAGGCAGAGGTCATCCAGTGACATGTCTATAACCACTAGAAGTATGTAAAAGTGAAATCACCAGCCAGCCATGTTAACACTGAGGCAACCTGGTGTTTGTTTGGAGTCGGTGTGGAATACATTGCCCTTTCCAATCTATATACATCACTAGGTTGATGGAAGATTAATTTCCGGAGAGTTCCCAAAATATGTTAGCAATATAATCAAAATAAAATATTCACATCAAATTATGATTAGAACAAGAAAATGAATCATCAAAAATAAGAATATCCTTTGAGATAGCTTTAACAGCCATGGAGTAGCAAATGCTTTAGTGTTATATTAATTTGTTTTCTCTGTGTCTAAAAGAGTGACTCAGTAACACAGCCTTAATTCAACTAAGAAAACATCCATGAGTCAATTCTGAGAAAAGCTATTTTTATACAGTGGAATTACTCAGGCAATCGATAAAAATAGCATAAAGCAAAGAGTCAATCTCATATTGATCAGTCGGTGACACAACACAAGACTTTTAAGCAGGTCAACATTCACAAGGCCGCAGGGCCAGACGGATTACCAGGACGTGTACTCCGAGCATGTGCTGACCAACTGGCAAGTGTCTTCACTGACATTTTCAACATGTACCTGACTGAGTCTGTAATACCAACATGTTTCAAGCAGACCACCATAGTCCCTGTGCCCAAGGACACTAAGATAACCTGCCTAAATGACTACCGACCCGTAGCACTCACGTCTGTAGCCATGAAGTGATTTGAAAGGCTGGTCATGGCTCACATCAACACCATTATCCCAGAAACCCTAGACCCACTCCAATTTGCATACCGCCCCAACAGATCCACAGATTATGCAATCTCTATTGCACTCCACACTGCCCTTTCCCACCTGGACAAGAGGAACACCTACATGAGAATGCTATTCATTGACTACAGCTCAGCGTTCAACACCATAGTGCCCTCAAAGCTCATCACTAAGCTAAGGATCCTGGGACTAAACACCTCCCTCTGCAACTGGATCCTGGACTTCCTTAACTCTACCCACATGTACATACTGTATGACGTCTATTACCTCGACTAGCCGGTGCCCCCGCACATTGACTCCGTACCGGTACCCCCCTGTATATAGCCTCCCTACTGCTATTTTATTTTACTGCTGCTCTTTAGCTATTTGCTTTTCTTTTTTCTTAATTAAGACTTTATTTTACATTTTTCTTTAAAAAACTGCATTGTTGGTTAAGGGCTTGTAAGTAAGCATTTCACTGTAATGTCTACACCTGTTGTATTCGGCGCATGTGGCAAATAACATTTGATTTGATTTAATCAGATGGTAAACCACACAATGCATGTACTGCTGTGCCTTTGTTCTCCCGTTCCCCATTGATTCTGAAAGAAAGATCGGAGAACAGTATTGATCTTACCTCAGGCCAAACGTGTGAGACTGCTCGTAGTTGAACAGTGAATGAATTTTCACATCTGAGTTCACAGCAATCAGCCTATCAATCAAATCCTGTGGCAAAGAGGTACAAAACAGAGTGAAAATGATGGAAAGATTGTGATGATGTGAAAGGTAGATAATTACATTTCTACCTACATCCTGATAATGTGCACTAGTTATTGATGTCTGTAGAAGCACACGTCGGACTATGTTACAATAGCCCCGTTTGCACACAACCAGTGTAAGTGTGCCCTCCTACGGCAAAACCTGGAACTGCAACCACATTTAAAAGTCCTATCAGAGACGGAAGAGGAAGCGACACACCCCATTCCCTCATTTTTTCTGGTTACATTACAGTCAATGGACTAAGCAGACCAGACCCAGCTGCTATTGCATTGGTGTCTATGAGAGAACCACCCCGTTAAGCAGACCGGAACTGACCATTGTTTTCCAATGGTAAACGGACCGCGTGCACTATCTTCATTTATCCACCATCTTTGGTACTACCTTATCTTTTACATTGTCTGCATAATCTAAACATTCTTTGATTTCACATTTTCACATATTTTAAACAATACATTTTATTTATGGGTAGCATAATCCGAACAAACTGATGTTAAACCGTATCCAACATAGGAGCCAGATACAAGTGTCAAGTCGAGCATTCTCCTGGTAGGGTGTGAGGGTCAGTGTTGGGGTCAGGACTCACTGTAATGGATGTGGGCATCTCCCTTAGGTTGTACTCAGCCTTGTTGGGCAGAGACTGCTGTCCCAGGAGCTCCCACACAGCATGGGGGGAGGAGAGCAGGTTAACCAAGGACAGGAACGACTGGGGGGAAAGAGGGGTGGGGGCAAAACAGTCAAACATCATTTGATTATTCAGAAAAACTAAGGTCAAAATTAAATGAGTTTGGGTTTATGACAAGGTTGGGGTGCAGCAATTGTTTTGTTTCTTTCCTACATTTATCTATTCAAACAGCTTTTTTTTTTTGCTGAAAAAGGAACTTGGCATATTATAAGTATCTAGAGATCTATTCTGCATTTCAATAAAAAAGGATAAAAAGGATGACAATTACATTCAAATGTGCTCCAGACAGTGTGTACTGCTGAGGCGTATCAGAGGACTGACATATTGATAGATAATCTCAAACTGATAAACACCAACTGTGAATACCTGAGTAGATTACTTCCTGTAGAGTATAAAGGACCGTATTGAAATAAAACATCAGAAAACAAGACCTAGGCTATTACCTGTCAGATACTGTTATTTAATTTAGGGGATAAATGGCACCAAAAAAAAAACATTACTGTCATTCTTGCAGGTCTTCTACTGTGCTGGTTCCTATCCTGTCTGAATATAGTATAGACCTACCATTCAGCCTTTAACCCACCCACAGTATAGAGCTAACAGAACAGGGACCATAGTCATAACACTAATGTCAATCAGAGCACTGCTCACTGACATCAGCCATCCATCCTGTTCATGAGCACTCTCTGTAGTAAGTACTCTCTTTGACCTGATGACCAAGAAAGGCTGTGAATGCCAAGGCTGGGTTGTCTTGCTGATTGTCCTCAGGAGGCTCCATGAGGAAACCATGGACGTTAAAGCACACGGCACTGTAAAGATCTGAGAAAATAATTTACCTTCAGACAGCTCCTGTCAATGGGGTCCATGGGAGTGGACTTGGGGTGAACGACCCTCACATCCTCTCTCCCACACTCCAGGACCGACCATATCTCCACCACTAAGGCCTGCACAAAACCTGCCAGGACATACTGAGGGGTAACTCATGTGTTGACGCTGTATAATAACAATATGCTCTGTTTTACTAGTAGTAATACCGTACCAGAACTGTGTAAAGCCACCACACCAGGGGCTGTTGCTGCTACCTGTGTCACCATCACACCGTAGCCAAACTTCTCACATCGGCTGACCTGGAGGAAAGTGTTTTCACAGATTCAAAATAGCCCATGATTGCTATTAGCCAAAAGCGATTTTCTATCTTGCATAATCAAAAAGTGTACGTGTGTGTGTCTTTGTGTGAAGAATATTTGTTTATTCTGAAAATGGGAACACATTAGTTAGGCCAGAGGCATTATTCTATCCACTGGGATATCGAAATGGCACTCAGGTGTATAAATACACTGCATTTCTGTTAATTGATTTTATGTAAATCACTAGCTCAAACAATTGATCGAAAATAAAGATGAAAGTAAAACAATAAGTGGAAAATGCATGAAAGACCTACAGAGTTATTAAGCCTCAGATTCCAAGCACATTTTCACCAATATTGTGGATGAATCAAAGTAATGGGCATTAACTACAAATAGGACTAAAATCTGAAATGGAAGATTTAAAACATTTATAAATGTAAATACAAAGTGATTTCAAGCGTAAAGATCCTTAACTAATTACAAAACAATGGTGTGAATTAAAAATAGATTAGCTTAATTACAATCTGGAGCAAAATGTATGCAAAACAAGGAAGTTAATTAAGAAGAGCATGTAAACAATTCTAGTCTATTAAAGCAGCAGGGAATTGTTCCCACGTTAGCAGTATATGATGCATACATTGGGCAGTAAGGGTATGTAAAGAGAAATGAATAAATCAAATCCAGTGTAGGAGTACCAGCATATGTATATATAGCTGGACATTATAAATACTAAGTAGAGTAGTGGACTCAATTTTGCCTATTCATCCCTACCATGGTGTTTTCTCTCCATACCTGTAGTTTCTTGGTGAACCTGGAGAACATGTAGGTGACACACTCATTGATGGCTCCAGTCTGCTGGAGGAGCAGCAGGCCTTTCGGTGTGGCAGCGAAGTTCAGCAGGTTGTCCAGCAAAGTCTCCTCCCAAACCACTCTGTGTGAACAGACAGCAGAAGGAAAGATTGATGGGAAGACTCATTATTTTCCATTTTATTTATCCTTCCTAACAACATGCTAGAGGGGTGACTGAAAATAAAATCACAACATAATTATCATAGATACACAAGTGCTGTTTGCCTGCAGGGGGAGACACAAAGAACACTCACACATTCTGCAGCTCCTGAGAGGATGTGCCGGGGATGGCTCCGGGAACCGGGGTGGGAACTCTTTCTGACAGGCAGCTTGTCTGTGATAGAGAGAAAAGAAACCTTCAGAGTGAGCCTTTGTTTTTCTCCTCTGAACCCGTACACTGAACTTCAATAATGAGGAGTTCAGCAGTCATGTTAGGGGCTTCTGCATCTCATTCCTCCAGTCGTTCTACCTTCCTCCATAAGGACACAGGGCTCACAATGATTCATTATTAGCAGAGTGTAGAAAGTTCTCTGTCTCCTGTAGCTGCCTGCCTGACACACTACATCACAAAACAATGGCCTTAGACAATATAGTTTTGTTCAAACTTTCATGATATTTGGTTTGTGGAGGTGCCATTGTGAAGGCAAACTGTTGTTCTTGGGTTAGTGAGGGTAGTTGCAAAGCTCTAATTGACCTCTAATTGAGAATTGGTTAACACTCGCAAGGCTGCCAGACGGAATAGACATCTTCACAGACATTTTCAATCTCTCCTTGTCCCAGTCTTTAACCCCAACATGTTTCAAGCTGACCACCATTGTCCCTGTTCCCAAGAACTCCAAGGTAACCTGCCTTAATGACTATCGCCCTGTAGTACTCACATCTGTAATTATGAAGTGCTTTGAAAGGCTGGTCATGAGACACATCACATCATCATCCCAGACACCCTGGACCCACTCCAATTCGCATACCGCCCCAGCGGATCCACAGATGACGCAATCTCAATTGCACTTCACACTGCCCTCTCCCTCCGGGACAAGAAGGGAAATAACTATTTGAAAATGCTGTTCATAGACTACAGCTCAGCGTTCAACATCATTGTCCACTCCAAGCTCATCACCAAGCTGGAGACCCTGGGACTGAACACCACCCTCTGTAACTGTTCCTGGTGGGCCGCCCCCAGGTGGTGAGGGTAGGCAACAACACCTCCGCCACACTGACCCTCAACACGGGGGACCCTCAAGGGTGTTTGCTTAGTCCCCTCCTGTACTCCCTGTTCACCCACGACTGTGTGGCCACCCACGACTCCAACACCATCATCAAGTTTGCTGACGACACGGCGGTGGTAGGCCTGATCACTGACGACGATGAGACAGCCTACAGGGAGGAGGTCAGAGACCTGGCAGTGTGGTGCCAGGACAACAACCTCTCCCTCACCATCAGTAAGACCAAGGAGCTGATCGTGGACTACAGGAGAAAGAGGGGAGAGCACGCCCCCATCCACATCGACAGGGCTGTAGTGGAGCGGGTTGAGAGTTCCTTGGCGCCCACATCACTAAGGACTTAACTTGGTCCACACACACCCGCAAAGTCGTTAAGAGGGCACGACAGCGCCTCTTCCCCCTCAGGAGGCTGAAAAGATTTGTCATGGGCCCTTGGATCCTCAAAATGTTATACAGCTGCACCATCGAGAGCATCTTGACTGGCTGCATCAAGACTGGCTGCATCACCGCTTGGTATGGCAAATGCACCACCCTCGACCGCAAAGCGCTACAGAGGGTGGTGCAGACAGTTCAGTACATCACTGGGGCCGAGCTCCCTGCCATCCAGGACCTCTAAATCAGGCAGTGTCAGAGGAAGGCCCGAAAAATTGCCAAAGTCTCCAGCCACAGACTGTTCACTCTGCTACCGTCCGGCAAACGGTACTGGAGCATCAGCTCTCGGACCAACAGGTTCCGAGACAGCTTCTACCCACAAGCCATAAGACTGCTAAACAGTTAACTAATGGTTACCCGGACTATCTGCACTGACCCTATGCACACTCACAAGACTATATATACACACACACACATACACACACACACTCCTACTACACACACTACACTGACACTCTCACACAAAACCCACACACATACATTACATACGCACACTCACGCATACCGACAACACAAATACACACACGCATATGGACACAACATAACCACACGTACACACACACACACTTTTACACCCATCATATGCTGCGGCTACTCTGTTCTTTATTTTACTCGTATTATTATCTAACCTAATGCCTAGTCACTTTACCCTGCCTTCATGTACATATCTACTTCAAATACCTCATACCCCTGCACATTGATCTGGTACTCTTACTCCCTGTATATAGCTCCATACTTGTGTATTTTTTTACTTGTGTTGCTATTTTTCTTTTTATAATAATTTTCTAACTCTGCATCATTGGGAAAGTCTACACCCGTTGTATTTGGTGCATGTGACAAATACAATTTTATTAGATTTTTAAGACCCCATTAATGCTGGAGGTTTACAATCAACAAAATACAGCCTGTCCATAATAAAGTATGGTTTTCAGTAACCTCCAGCATCCATGGTCATTTAATGATTCCGAATATTTTATAGGGCTGCAGGAATCTTTACTTCCTGAAGTTTGACTCAATTACTGGGAGACTCAAGTAAAAAGATGAGTATTTTTCTGATGTTTTCCCCCCACCAAGTACAATAGTTAATACTGTATTTCACATGTTATGTTTATGAGAACATTTTAGGATGGTGGAGTTACGTATTTATATGTGGGATAAGGATTACTTAGAATTCCTATTGATAAAGGTGTAGACAATGGCTCATAAAGGCCAACAGCATATGATACATGCTAGCTGGCAAATGAGTAATCCAACTAGTAAAACTGCTGATAAACTTATCCTAAGACACTCCCTTCCAATGTAAGATCTCGCTTACTTAACCATTTAATGTTTGATTGTCTTGTTTTTTTGTAGTTTTTTACTGACGACAGTTGCTTTGAGTTATTGGGTTTCATTTAGATAAAATAACTGCCCAAAACTGCAGTTTCTACTGCCAAACTCACAACAAAACAAAGTACTATAGCTGTAATATCTTCCATATTAGCTTGTAACATTATTAAAGTAACCAGTGTTCAATGACTCTATGTACATAGGGCAGCAATCTCTAAGGTTCAGGGCAGGGTACTGGGCGGAGGCCAGCTAGTGGTGACTGTTTAACAGTCAGATTCCCTGAAGATTGAAGCTGTTTATCAGTCTCTCGGTCCCTGCTTTGATGCACCTGTACTGTCTCCGCCTTCTAGATGGTAGCGGGGTGAACAGGCGGTGGCTCGGGTGGCTGGGGTCCTTGATGATCTTCTTGGCCTTCCAGTGATACCGCGTGCTGTAGATGTCCTGGAGGGCAGGCAGTGTGCCCTCGTTGATGCGTTGGGCTGACCGCACCACCCTCTGGAGAGGTGCAATTGCCGTAACAGGCGGTGATGCAGCCCGACAGGATGCTCTCAATGGTTCATCTGCAGAAGTTCGTGAGGGTCTTAGGGGCCTACCCAAATCTCTTCAGCCTCCTGAGGTTGAAGAGGCGCAGTTGTGCCTTCTTCACCACACTGTCTGTGTAAAGGGACCATTTTAGGTCGTCAGTGATGTGTATGCAGAGGAACTTTAAGCTTTTGACCATCTCCCCTGCTCTCTCTGCTGTCTCCTGTAATCCACGATCAGCTCCTTCGTTTTGTTGACGTTAAGGTTATTATCCTAGCACCTTTCCGCAAAGGCACTCACTTCCTCCCTGTAGGCTGTCTCGTTGTTGGTAATCAGGCCTACCACTGTTGTGTCGTCAGCAAACTTGATGATTGAGTTGGAGACGTGCGTGGCCAATGGGTGAACATTGAGGGGAGGAGGGGGCTGAGCACGCACCCCTGTGGGGCCCCCGTGTTGATGATCAGCGTGGCGGAGGTGTTGTTGCCTACCTTTACCACTTGGGTCGGCCTGTCAGGAAGTCTAGGACCAAGTTGCACAGGGAGGGGTTCAAACCCAGGGCCCTGAGCTTAGTGATGAGCTTGGAGGGCACTATGGTGTTGAAGGCTGAGCTGTAGTCAATGAACAGCATTCTTACATAGGTATTCCTATTGTCCAGGTAGGATAGGGCAGTGTGTAGTGCAATGGCGATTGCGTTGTCTGTGGAGCTGTTGGGGCGGTATACAAATTGTAGTGGGTCTAGGGTGTTAGGTAAGATGGAGGTTATATGGTCCTTAACTAGCCTCTCAAAGTACTTCATGATTACAGAAGTGAGTGCTACGGGACGATAGTCATTTAGTTCAGTTACCTTCGCTTGCTTGGGTACAGGAATATATTCTAGTCATGGCTGATCCTATATAACTACTAAGAGTTTTCAGCTGTGCTAACATAATTGCAAAAGGGTTTTCTAATGATCAATTAGCCTTTTAAAATGATAAACTTGGATTAGCAAACACAACGTGCCATTGGAAAACAGGACTGATGGTTGCTGATAATGGGCCTCTGTACGCCTATGTAGATATTCCATTAAAAATCAGCCGTTTCCAGATACAATAGCCATTTACAACATTAACAATGTCTACACTGTATTTCTGATCAATTTGATGTTATTTTAATGGACAAAAAAAATGCTTTTCTTTCGAAAATAAGGACATTTCTAAGTGACCCCAAACTTTTGAACGTTAGTGTGTGTGTATATATATATATATATACACTCCTCAAAAAAATAAAGGGAACATTAAACAACATAATGTAACTCCAAGTCAATCACACTTCTGTGAAATCAAACTGTCCACTTAGGAAGTCCACTGATTGACAATACATTTCACATGCTGTTGTGCAAATGGAATAGACAACAGGTGGAAATTATAGGCAATTAGCAAGACACCCCCAATAAAGGACTGGTTTTGCAGGTGGTGACCACAGACCACTTCTCAGTTCCTATGCTTCCTGGCTGCTGTTTTGGTCACTTTTGAATGCTGGCGGTGCTTTCACTCTAGTGGTAGCATGAGACGGAGTCTACAACCCACACAAGTGGCTCAGGTAGTGCAGCTCATCCAGGATGGCACATCAATGCGAGCTGTGGCAAGAAGGTTTGCTGTGTCTGTCAGCGTAGTGTCCAGAGCATGGAGGCGCTACCAGGAGACAGGCCAGTACATCAGGAGACGTGGAGGAGGCCGTAGGAGGGCAACAACCCAGCAGCAGGACTGCTACCTCCGCCTTTGTGCAAGGAGGAGCAGGAGGAGCACTGCCAGAGCCCTGCAAAATGACCTCCAGCAGGCCACAAATGTTGCATGTGT